AAGCAACGGATGGAAACTCATCAAGGAGAGAAGCAACCTGGAACTGAGGAGAAACTTCCTGACAGTGAGAACAATTAACCAGTGGAACCACCTGCCTCCAGAAGCGGCAAATACTCCAACACTGGAAGTTTTTAAAAAGAGACTGGACAGCCATTTGTCCGAAATGGTATAGGGTTTCCTGCCTGAGCAGCGGGTTGGACTAGATGACCTCCAAGGTCCCTTCCAACTTTATTACTATTATTAAGAGTAACAACCGTGTTACTAACTTAACAGCTGCAGTGAGTCACTTAACAACCGTGGCAGGTAAGGTCGTAAAACGGGGCAAAATGCACAACTATCTTGCTTAGCAACAGAAATTTGGGGCTCAATTGTAGCCGTAAGTCGAGGACCACCTGTACACCCTTCTGGACCATCTTTCCTTCTCTGCCACAAAGCCCAAAGCAGAGGTCGTTTTAGGCCAAATAAATGAACAGACTGGAAAGTCCAAAAGCCAAAATATCGAAAAAGATACATTGGGTGAATTCAGCTAGCGAGAACATCACAGGTAGCCCTCAACGTACGACCGCAGCCGAGCCCAACATTTATGTCGTTAAGTGAGTCATCTGTTAAGTGAGCTTTGCCCCGTTTTACGAGTTTCCTTGCCACAGTCCGTTAAGTGAATCGCTGCAGCTGTTAAATAAGTCACACGGTCGTTAAGCGAATCCGGCTTCCCCCGTTGACTTCGCTGGTCAGAAGCTCGCAAGAGGGGATCACGTGACCCCGCCCCGGGACGCTGAGACCGTCGTAAGTACGAGTCAATTGCCGAGTTTGTGAATTTTGATCACGCGACGCCGCAACGGTCGTTAAGTGTGAAAAACGGCCATAAGTCCCTTTTTCAGGTGCCGCTGCAACTCTGAACAGCCACTAAACGAACCGCTGTAAGTTGAGGGCTACCTGTATTCTTCCTTGTTTGGTTTTTGCATGCAATGAATCGTTCATTTGGACTGCGTGTCTGTCTGTTTGGAAATGGATTAATAAAAAATCGTTCAAAAACCTGGAGAAGAAAATCAGAAAGGGAGGTTTTGACACTTCACAGCAAACACACTAGATTTCAGGTTGAAGCAGCAGTTGGGAACATCCGGTTGCAGAATCCACTGTTTTCGAGGTTAACATAATTTTCAACTTTAATAATAATAAAGTTGGAAGGGACCTTGGAGGTCATCTAGTCCAACCCCCTGCTCAGGCAGGAAACCCTATATACCATTTCAGACCAATGGCTGTCCAGTCTCGTCTTAAAAACCTCCAGCCTTGGAGCATTTACTGCTTCTGGAGGCAGGTGGTTCCACTGGTTAATTGTTCTAACTGTCAGGAACTTTCTCCTTAGTTCTAGGTTGCTTCTCTCCTTGGTCAGTTTCCATCAAACAAACTGGTTAGGTTTACTTCTTCGATATCGTAAGCTAAGCAAGATTAATCCGAAGCCAATTCTTCCTATTGCGCAAATGAAACCACAGTGCCTTTCACAAACTTGGTTAAATATTTAGGGTGCACATAGCCCAGACATACCAGCACACAAACGGCATGGTGTGATACGATGCGTGGGACACTACCGGTGGTCCTCAACTTAACGGCCACAACTGGGACTAGCATTTTCATCATTAAGCCAGGCGGCTGTTAAGTGAATCCAATGTTGGCCACGGACGTTAAGCGAATCACTGCAAGCGATAAGTGGGTCGTGCAGTCACTAAGCGAATCCGGCCTACGTTGGAGGCCAGCTGGGAAGATGGCAAATGGGGAATCACCAGCGTCACAAACACACACCGTGGGGTCATCAGCGGGAGACCCGGCCGTACGTCATTTTTCTTCAGCCCCGTTGCGACTTTGCACGGCCGCTGAACCAAATGGCCGTAAGCCGAGGACTTTTGTACAGGGGTTTCTGTCTCTTTCAGAGTGAGGCCACCCGAAGCACAAAACGCAAAACACACACCTGTGGCTTGCAGCCTGAGTGAGCAGTGGATTTTCCCTTCCAGCCCGAAAAGGAAACAGGAAGGTGGCAGATGGGAATTACCATCTTAACGTAAGGACTTCACTGATGCGGAAAAATAATAATAATTAAAACCTACACTTGGCACGCAGCGCCCCGTTCCACCTCCTGCCCTTTTAATCTTCGTTTTGAGAGTGAGGGTTTTGTAAACAGGCCCTTCTGGTTGTGCTGATTCATGAAGGTTAGCCGTTGAAATGACAGTTCCTCTTTCCGTTACCCAAGAGGAAACATCAGTGGGGAAAAAAAAATCCTATTTATTGAACTGTCCGCCCTTTTGCTCGGAGGGATCTGAATTCATTCTTTCCTTTGCAGAATGATTAGACTAGGGAAAGAGGCAGAGAAGAGCAACAAAGGGGACTGGAGGCTAAAACATACAAGGAACGGCTGCTGGAATTGGGTATGTCTAGTTTAACGAAAAGAAGGACGAGGGGGGACAGGATAGCAGTATTCCAATATCTCAGGGGCTGCCCCAAAGAAGAGGGAGTCAAGCTATCCTCCAAAGCGCCTGAAGGCAGGACAAGAAGCAACGGATGGAAACTCATCAAGGAGAGAAGCAACCTGGAACTAAGGAGAAATTTTAGGCAAGAAAAACCAAATGTACAGGTATAGTATAGGGGGTACCCTGCTCAATAGTAGTAACTGTGAGAGGGATCTCGGAGTTCTAGCGGATAATCACTTAGGTGTGAGCCAGCCGTGTGCTGCAGCGGCCGAAAAAGCCAACACAATGCTGGGCTGCATCAACAGAGGGACAGAATCAAAATGATGTGAAGTGTTAATACCACTTTACAAGGCCTTGGTAAGGCCACACTTGGAATACTGCATCCGGTTTTGGTCACCACGATGTAAAAAAGATGTTGAGATGTTGAGTACAGAGAAGAGCAACAAAGAGGATCAGGGGAGGCTAAAACATATAAGGAACGGTTGATGGAATTGGGTATGTCTAGTTTAACGGACGAGGGGGGACAGGATAGCAGTGTTCCAGTATCTCAGGGGCTGCCCCAAAGAAGAGGCAGTCTAGCTATTCTCCAAAGCCCCTGAAGGCAGGACAAGAAGCAACGGATGGAAACTCATCAAGGAGAGAAGCAACCTGGAACTAAGGAGAAACTTCTTAACAATGAGGACAATTAACCTGTGGAACAGCTTGCCACCAGAGGTTGTGGGTGCTTCACTACTGGAGCATTTAAAGAAGAGACTGGACAACCATTTATTTGAAATGCTATAGGCCAGGGATAGGCAACCTCGGCTCTTTTATGACTTGTGGACTTCAACTCCCAGAATTCCTGAGCCAGCCATGCTGAGGGGAAAGGGAGAGGTTTCCAAGCTGAGCCAGGCTGGCTCAGGAATTCTGGGAGTTGAAGTCCACCATTCATGAAGGGACCATAATTCCCCCATGCTGGCTCAGGAATTCTGGGAGTTGAAGTCCACAAGTCATGAAGGGGCCATAGTTCCCCCATGCTGGCTGGGGAATTCTGGGAGTTGAAGTCCACGAGTCATAAAAGAGCCAAGGTGGCCTACACCTGCATAGGGTTTCCTGCCTAAGAAGGGGGTTAGACTAGAAAACCTCCAAGGACCCTCCAAGTCGTTATTCTGTTCCATTCTGAAACACTTCAGACATGCCTTTGTGGAGCAAACATAAACGTCCGTGAATACTCATCTATGGTATTTCAGATAGTCCTTGACTTATGACCGGCCACTTAGCAATCGTGTGAAGTTATGACAGTCCCTCCTGAAAGCTACAGGCAGTCCTCCACTGACGACCGTCAGGGAGCCCCAAATTTCTGTGGCTGAGATATTTGTCAAGTGAGTTTTGCCCCATTTTGCAATCTTTCTTGGCGCAGTCGTTAAACGAATCGCTGCAGTTGGGTAAGTCCGTAACGGGGCTGTTAAGCGAGTCTGGCTTCCTGGCTGGTTTTGTTTGTCAGAAGGTCGCCAAAGGGGATCACGTGACCCGTGATCAACCGTCATAAGTATGAATCAGTTGCTGAGCGTCTGAATTTTGATCATGTGACCACGGGGAGGCTGCGACGGTTGTATGTGTGAAAAATGGTCCTAAGTCCCTTTTTTCAGAGCTGTTGTAACTTGGAATGGTAACTAAACGAACTGTAAGTCCGAGACTATCTCTAGTTAACAGAATACTTACAATCTGGTTTCAAAGTTGCGACCTCTGCAGTGTTCCTGCAGTTGTCCACCCTTACGACTGACCACAAGGACACTCTCTCTGCCCACCTGTCTCCCCCATCCAGCCCACTCAGCATAGCTGGCTGAGGAATTGAGAATAGAGTAGAGTAGAGTAGAGTAGAGTAGAGTAGAATACAAAATAGAATAGAATAGAATAGAAAATAGAATAGAGTAGAATAGAAAATAGAATAGAATAGAAAATAGAAAATAGAATAGAATAGAAATTAGAATAGAAAATAGAATAGAATAGAATAGAAAATAGAAAATAGAATAGAAAGAATAGAATAGAATAGAACAGAATAGAAAATAGAATAGAAAATAGAATAGAACAGAAAATAGAATAGAACAGAAAATAGAATAAAATAAAACAGAACAGAATAGAATAGAGCTGGAAGGGACCTTGGAGGTCTTCTAGTCCAGCCCCCTACTCAAGCAGGAAAACCTATGCCATCTCAGACAAGTGATTGTCTAGTCTCTTCTTAAATACATCCAGGGATGGAGCGCCCACGATTTCTGGTGGCAAGCTGTTCCACTGGTTGATTGTCCTCACTGTCAGGAACTTTCTCCTTAATTCCAGGTTGCTTCTCTCTTTGGTCAGTTTCCAACCATTGTTTCTTGTCCTGCCCTCTGGTCCTTTGGAGAATAATTTGACACACCCCCCCTCCCCATTTCTTTGTGGCAGGCCCTCAAATACTGGAATTCTGGGAGCTGAAGCCCACAAAGGCTGGCTGAGGAATTCTGGGAGTTGAAGTCCACAAGTCTTAAGAGCCCGGTGTGGGGAAACCACCCGCTACTTACGGACCTGTTTGGCAACGTGTTTCCACTGTCTTGGGAAGAACCGGGGGAGTGGAGAATCAGAACTTCAGCAACCGACTGGACATCCGGGTCAGCTCCAAGATGCCTCAAAGATCTTCCGGAAGCTTCGCTTTCAACTGTCATTTTTTTTTGGGGGGGGGGGGAAATGGACATTTTAAAATATGTTGTGTATTTTTCTTATTGAGTTACTCACGCCCATCCTTGAAGTTTAATTCTAAAACATACAAATTCTCCGAAGTCGAGCACCACAAACATGGTTGAAATCTTAACCGTTGTTAACTCCGATAAACGTACGCCTTACAGGGAGTCCTCGGTTTACGACTAGAACGGGGACCAGGATTTCCGTCGCTAAGGGAGGCAGGCGTTAAAGGGAGTCACACGCCTGATTTTGGCCACATTTGATTAACGATTCACTTGCAGTCGTTAAGAAAGTCGGCCCTGATTTTACGGGCTTTTGGCCACGTTGGATGAGTGAATCGCTGCGGTCGTTAAATGAATCAGTGGCTGTTAAGCAAATCAGGCATCCTCCGTTGACTTGGCTTGTCGGAAGCCAATTGAGAAGGTTGCATGGCAACCGTCGTAAATACATGCTAGTTGCCAAACGCCCCAATTCTGATCGTGTGAACATGGATGCAGCTGCAATGGTCGTAAGTACGAGGATGGGCTCTACGTCACTTTTCTCAGGGCTGCTGTAACTTCGAACAGCTGCCAAATAAAGAGTTGTAAGTCGAGGACTACGTTACGAAAAGTAGGAGCCACCATCTATGACGGTGGTTGTCAACCTTTTTAATGCCGCGACCCCCAACCGGTCGTAAGTCGAGGACTACTCAACCGGTCGTAAGTCGAGGACTACTCAACTGGTGCAGCACCGTTTGCAGAATGGGACTTTTGGCAGGCTCAGCAGGGCAGAGACAGCTGGACAATTCCTATTGGCTTTTGAAAGCCAATAGAATTAGACTCTATTCAAGAGAGTCTATTCTATTGGCTTTCAAAAGCCAATAGAATAAAAGGGAGTAGCACAGCTAAGGAAAGGGGGAAAAAATGGCGGACTGCATTGTTTGGCGACCCCCGTGAAATGGTCGTTCGACCCCAAATGGGGTCCCAACCCACAGGTTGAGAACCACTGGTCTATGAGGACGCAGCCATTTTTCCTTCGCTGTGATGCCATTAATATCTAGTGCAGTTCTAGACTCTTGCTTAAACTACACAGGCGGTCCTCGACATACGACCGCAACGGAGCCCAAAATTTCTGTTCTTAAGCGAGACATTTGTTAAGTGAGTTTTGCCTCATTTTATGACCTTTTTTCTTTGCCACAGCGGTTAAGTAAATCGCTGCAGACTGCAGTTGATAAGGTAGTAACCCAGTTGTTACATGAAAATGGCGTCCCCATTGGCTTTGCTTGTCAGAAAGCCGCGGAAGGGTGATCACGTGGCCTTGAGCCACAGCAACGGTCGTAAGTACGAACCAGGTGCCAAACATCACCTCCAGAAGCTGTGAAGTTTTTAGAGCCACAGAAGCTCTAACGCGGTCGTAAGTGGAGGACTGCCTGTACTAAATCTGCTATAACCGTCTGGAACATCCCCTCCTCTGAGGTGAGAATCTGGTTTTTGTTAGCCTTGCAGAAAACTTTGCAAATGTTTCTTTCATCAGCCCCGAGATCTATGGCAAGCCGGGAAAATGGCTGACTTAGGTTCATTCATTCATTCATTCATTCATTCATTCATTCAATTTCTATAGCCGCCCATTTCAGTCAGTGACTTTGGGCGGATGCCCATTTAAAAGAAAGAAAAAAGGCTATCTTCTTGCTAACCTTAGGATTGTTTTACGTTTTTATTCCTTTCTGTTTTTATTTCTGTTCTTACCGAAGTGTAATGTTTTTCTATCGTTGAGTGGGTTTTGTTTATTCTGCTTGGAACCTGCCCAGAGTCCGTTTTTCTGACATAGACTCTTGTGTACATTTAGAAAATAATAAAATAAAATAAAATAATAAAATAAAATAATAAAATAAAATAATTAAATTAAATTAAATTAAAAATAAAATAAAACAAAACAATAAAATAAAATAAACAGAAGGACGAGGGGGGGGGGGACATGATAGCAACTTTGAATATCTCAGGGGCTGCCCCAAAGAAGAGGGAGTCAAGCTATTTTCCAAAGCCCCTGAAGGCAGAACAAGAAGCAACAGATGGAAACTGAGCAAGGAGAGAAGCAATCTAGAACTAAGGAGAAACTTCCTGATAGTGAGAACAATTAACCAGTGGAACAACCTGCCTCTAGAAGCGATGAATGCTCCAACACTGGAAGTTTTTAAGAAGAGACTGGACAGCCATTTGTCTGAAATGGGATAGGGTTTCCTGCCTGAGCAGGGGGTTGGACTAGATTTTATTTATTTATTTATTTTTATTTTTAAAATGTATAAGCCGCCCCACTCTCGGAGGACTCTGGATGGCTAACAATAAAAACACCATAAAACATAACAAAACAAACAGTACAAGAACAGTCATCCAGGGGTCAGGTTTTATAAACCCCAGGCCTGCCGGAAAAGCCAGGTCTTAAGCAGCTTACGGAAAACCAACAGGGTGGGAGCGGTCCTAATCTCCGGGGGGAGCTGGTTCCAAGACGTGGGTGCCATCACAGAGAAGGCCCTCCTCCGCGGCCCCGCCAAATGGCACTGCTTGGCCGACGGGACCTAAAGGAGGCCCAGCCTGTGGGATCTAACCGGAGGAAGGGAACTATGAGGTAGTAGGCGGTCTCGCAAATAGCCTGGCCCTGAGCCATATAGGGCTTTAAAGGTAATAACCAACAGCTTGAATTGGACCCGGAGACCGATAGGCAACCAGTGCAGCTCGCGGAGGATAGGTGTAACGTGGGTGTATCGAGGAGCACCCACTATCACTCGCGCGGCTGCATTCTGGACCAACTGTAGTCTCCGAATACTTTTCAAGGGTAGCCCCATGTAGATGACCTCCAAGGTCACTTCCAACTTCTTCTTCTTCATCATCATCATCATTATTATTATATAAAATAAAATAAGATAAAATAAAAATAAATTAAAATAAATAAAAACGTAATATTTAAATTAAAAAAAACAACAAAATAATAAAATAAAAAATAAGTAATTAAATAAATTTACATCGGCAGTTCGACGAGGCAGGGCGGGAAACCGAAGGCAGTCTCCTGATTCTTTCCAGCGTAGAATCATGAGATCTACAGTAGGATAAGGCCAGGGAGGTCATCCGGTCCACCCCCACTTTAACTCAGTTAAAGCATTCTCAATGTGCAACTGTTTAGCCTCGGTACGACACGCTGAATAAAAGGGAGCTTATTCCCTCTCTGTCCGCCGTTTTTCCTGCAAGGTTGTAGGGTTTCCCCCCCCAACACTGAATTCGAATTGACTACTTTTACCCAGAATTTACCATTCCTGCTTCTAGAGCAGTGGTTCTCCACCTGTGGGTCAGGACCCCATTTGGGGTCGAACGACCATTTCATGGGGGTCGCCAAACAACGCAGTCCGCCATTTTTTCCCCCTTTTCCTTATCTGTGCTGCTCCCTTTTATTCTATTGGCTTTCCAAAGCCAATAGGAATTGTCCAGGCTGTCTCTGCCCTGCTGAGCCCGCCAAAAGTCCCATTCTGCAAACGGTGCTGCACCAGTTGAGTAGTCCTCGACTTACGACCGGTTGAGTAGTCCTCGACTTACGACCGGTTGGGGGGGGGATCGCGGCATTAAAAAGGTTGAGAACCACTGTTCTAGAGCGACACAGAAGCAACCGGCTAGAAACCACTGGACAGACTACACATAGTCCTTGCCTTACAACCATTCCTTTAGTGACAATTCAAAGTTACAACGGCACCGGAAAAAAGCAACTTACGGCCGTTTCCCAGTTATGGCTGGTTGCAGCATCCCCACAGCGTCAGGGGATCAAAATCTGGACTCTCGGCAACTGTCTCGTATTTATGACGATCACCGTGTCCCCAGGTCACGTGATCCCCTTGGGCGACCTTTGACAAGCCAGAGTCACTTAACAACCATGTTATAACTGAACAACTTAACAACTGCGGAAAGCAAGGTCGTAAAATGGGGCAAAGCTCATTTAACAACTGTCTTGCTTGGCGACGGAAATTTGGGGCTCAACTGTGCTCATAAGACGAGGACCGCCTGTGCCGTAAAAAGATTGCCATCGGAGCCCATTTTAAAATTTGGGTTAGATCAGTGGTTCTCAACCTGTGGGTCGGGACCCCATTTGGGGTCGAACGACCATTTCACGGGGGTCGCCAAACAACGCAGTCCGCCATTTTCCCCCCCTTTTCCTTAGCTGTGCTACTCCCTTTTATTCTATTGGCTTTTGAAAGCCAATAGAATAACTCTCTTGAATAGAGTCTAATTCTATTGGCTTTCAAAAGCCAATAGGAATTGTCCAGGCTGTCTCTGCCCTGCTGAGCCCGCCAAAAGTCCCATTCTGCAAACGGTGCTTCACCAGTTGAGTAGTCCTCGACTTACGACCGGTTGAGTAGTCCTCGACTTACGACCGGTTGGGGGGGGGTCGCGGCATTAAAAAGGTTGAGAACCACTGGGTTAGATAGATCCTTCAAAGCCAAGCTTCCCCGGAGGAGCAGGACATCTTTGGGGATGTAATCTTGGAGCTGCTCGAACTCAAGACTTACACGAAAGGCTGGGCCTCTTCCCGCTGCGTGTCGGAGGACGGGAATTTGAGCACCGCGGAGCACCAGTCTCTCTGCCGCTGCAGGAAGCGGCTTCATCTTCCAACCTGGAGCAAAGAAGAAAGCAGAGCCGTAAATGCCAGAGTAATTAAACTGTTATCACTAGGTCAGTGTTTCTCAACCTTGACAATTTTAAGGCATGTGGACTTCAACTCCCAGAATTCCACAGCCAGCGTTGCTGGCTGTGGAATTCTGGGAGTTGAAGTCCACATGCCTTAAAATTGTCAAGGTTGAGAAACACTGCACTAGGTGGATTATTATCTTTCCAATTTCCTCTAATTGAGAAGAGGACAATTTTGAATTAATGGATTAGTGCCAGGATCGCGACGGTCTTGTTCTCTGCCGTTTTGCCTTTCCTTCCAGAAGTGGAACCAAACGTTATACGAATCTCCCTGAGCGTGATGGCGGAGGATGATGGGAACAGAGGAGAGCCAGTTTGGAGCAGGGGTTCAGGGGCTGCCTAGAGACCAGGAGATGGTGAGTTCTAGTCCCGCTTTAGGCATGGAAGCCGGCTGGGTGCCTATGGGCCAATTAACAGCAGACGGTGAGTTCTAGTCCCGCCTTAGGCACAGAAGCTGGGTGGGTGCCTTTGGACCAATCAACAGCAGATGGTGAGTTCTAGTCCCGCCTTAGGCATGGAAGCTGGCTGGGTGCCTGTGGGCCAATCACCAGAAGACGGTGAGTTCTAGTTCTGCCTTAGGTCTAGAAACTAGGTGAGCATCAAAGCTAGCTAGGTGACCTTGGGCCAATCAGCAGGAAATGGTGAGTTCTAGTTCCACCTTAGGCATGGAAGCCAGCTGGGTGACTTTGGGCCAATCACCAGGAGACAATGAATTCTGGTTCCGCCTTAAGTCTGGAAACTAGCTGAGCATGAAAGCCGGCTGGGTGACCTTGGGCCAATCAGCAAGAGACAATGAATTCTAGTTCCGCCTTAGGTATGGAACCCAGCTGGGTGACTTTGGGCCAATCACCAGGAGACTGGGAGTTCTAGTCCTGCCTTAGGTCTAAAAACTAGGTGAGCATGAAAGCCAGCTGCGTGACTTTGGGGCAATCACCAGGAGACAATGAATTCTAGTTCTACCTTAGGCATGGAAGCCAGCTGGGTGACTTTGGGCCAATCACCAGGAGACAATAAATTCTAGTTCTACCTTAGGCATGGAAGCCAGCTGGGTGACTTTGGGCCAATCACCAGGAGACGGTGAGTTCTAGTTCTATTTTAAGTCTGGAAACTAGGTGAGCATGAAAGCTGGCTGGGTGACCTTGGACCAATCAGTAGGAGAAGGTGAGTTCTAGTCCCACCTTAGGCATGGAAGCCAGCTGGGAGACAATGAGTTCTAGTTCCACTTTAGGAACCCGCTGGGTGATTTTGGGCCAATCACCAGGAAACGGTGAGTTCTAGGCCTGCCTCAGGCACAATGGATGGTTGGCTGACTTTGAGCCAATCACCCAGAGATGATGAGTCTTAGTCCCGCCTCAGGCACGAAGGATGGTTGAGTGTCTTTGGGTCAATCGCCAGGAGACGGTGAGTTCTAGTCCTGCCTTAGGCATGAAAACCAAGTGAGTGTCTTTGGGCCAATCCCTCTCTCTCAGCCCAAGCCCACCTCACAGGGGGCTTGTTATTGTGAGGAAAATAGGCAGAGGAAGGAGCATTATGGATATTTGCCACCTTGGGTTACTTATACAAATAGTAAAGATGGGATAAGAAAGCAAACAAACATAGAACCAACCAACCAACCAACAAATAAATGATGTCGGACGGATCTGGAAACAACCTGGCTGATTTCTGCCTGCTGGCTCACAGCTGCAGGAGAGTTGACTTGGCTCTTAGACCATTCTCTCTTTTTTGTAAATATTCTATTAATTTCAAGTTTTACAATTGTAAGTACTTAATAAACAACTCGGCACCTGGGTTCCTTTATTATTCTGTGGTATATATTAACTTTCACTCAAAATATCCAATACTACACCATCCAGTATTTCCCTGATCCTCTCCTCTTCCAATAGTAATAATAATAATAATGATGATGATGATGATGATGGAAGGGATCTTGGGAGTCATCTAGTCCAACCCCCTGCTCAGGCATTTCCCCCCACTATGCAAGTATAATTCTTATTGCTATTAATACCTATATAATTAAATATAAACATATTCATCACATGTTCTAATGTTATAAATAGTGTCAATAATATCAGTTTATAGCATCTTCTCTAGCCAAGACATATCTCAAATGTATTGGCATTTAATCCGTATCCTTTTTTTTCTCTCTTTTTTTTCAATTTTAATTTCCCATCAATATTCAAAATAGCTTTATCAATTATCATTTTTCTCATATTACACTTGGGTAACTAAAAGCTTCCCTTATACCAGGGGTAGGCAACCTTGGCTCTTTTATGACTGGTGGACTTCAACTCCCAGAATTCCTGAGCCAGTCGTGCTGAGGGGAAAGGGAGAGGTTTCCAAGCTGAGCCATGCTGGCTCAGGAATTCTGGGAGTTGAAGTCCGCAAGTCATAAAGGGACCATAGTTCCCCCACGCTGGCTGAGAAATTCTGGGAGTTGAAGTCTGCAAGTCATGAAAGGGCCATAATTCCCCCATGCTGGCTCAGGAATTCTGGGAGCTGAAGTCCACGAGTCATAAAAGAGCCAAGGTTGCCTACCTCTGACCTAGGCCATTCCCTATTGAGTTTGGGGAAATCTATGGGGTGCTGTCTGAGATTTCTCATCTTTATCCATCTAAACACTTAAACATTTCATTCAGTTTCACCACAATACAATTGGAATAGGAAACTTGCCACAGCCAACTTGCCAAGCGACAACTCGCCAATTCAATTATTTAAAAAAAATAAAAAAATTATTTTTGGGCCCTTCACATTTCATTTTTGGCTTTCTTTCTTTCATGATTCTATTCCACTATTTCTTCGATATTAGTATAACTCAGGGGTCTTCAAACTTGGCCCTTTTATGACTGGTGGACTTCAACCCCCAGAATTCCTGAGCCAGCCATGCTGAGGGGAAAGGGAGAGGATTCCAAGCTGAGCCAGGCTGGCTGAGGAATTCTGGGAGTTGAAGTCTGCAAGTCATGAAGGGGCCATAGTTCCCCATGCTGGCTCAGGAATTCTGGGAGCTGAAGTCCACAAGTCATGAAGGGGCCATAGTTCCCCCATGCTGGCTGAGGAATTCTGGGAGTTGAAGTCCACAAGTCATGAAGCGGCCACAGTTCCCCCATGCTGGCTCAGGAATTCTGGGAGTTGAAGTCCACGAGTCATAAAAAAGCCATGGTTGCCAACCCCTGCCCTAGGCCTAGGCCGCTTAGTATTTTCATATTTCCCATCTTATAGAAAATTATTCTTAAGACCTTTCTCTTTAGCCTTCTTGCCATAGGACAGGGGTGTCAAACTCAATTTCACTGAGGGCCGCATCAGGATTGCGGTTGCTCGGGGGGGGGCAGGTGAGTGTGGCCAGAGTGGGTGCAGCCTACTGGGTGGGCGTGGATGGAGTGGGTGTGGCCTACTGGGTGGGCATGGCCAGTTCTACATCATTTCTTGTCAAGGGTGCCTATGGGGGGCCTGGGCAGGAGTGGGACAGATCTGAGGGTCTCTGGCAGAAGGTGGAGGGGGACCAGGGCAAGCGCCAAGGCATGGTCCACCGGGGCAAGTGCCAAGATGGCCACCACAAAATTGTACATTGGCTCCTGACCGGCCTGGGCCAGGGCCAAGGCAGCGGGGGCCGTTCCCTCACTGTTTCCAGGATAGCTTCATGGGCCAACCTGCCTCCAGAAGCAGGGAATGCTCCAACACTGGAAGTTTTTAAGAAGAGACTGGCCAGCCATTTGTCCAAAATGGTGTAGGGCAGTGGTTCTCAACCTTTCTAATGCCGCGACCCCATAATACAGTTCCCCATGTTGTGGTGACCCCCAACCACTTATACATCACCGGGTGCCAGGGGCGTGGCCAAAGAAAAAGGGAAAAAAATGGCGGACAGCCTTGTTTGGAGACCCCCGTGAAATGGTCGTTCGACCCCAAATGGGGTCCCGACCCACAGGTTGAGAACCACTGGTGTAGAGTTTCCTGCCTGAGCAGGGGGTTGGACTAGATGACCTCCAAGGTCCCTTCCAACTTTACCATTACTACTACTACTACTACTACTACTACTACTACTACTACTACTATTATTATTATTATTATTATTATTATTATTATTATTATTATTACTTCGCGGGCCGCATCCGGCCCCCAGGCCTTGTGTTTGACATGTCTCCCATAGGAGATCAAGGACTTTCTACATTCGGTTTCATCAAAACAGGCTTAACATTGCTCCTGAACAAATTCATTTTCCGGGTGCGCATAATTCCACGAACAATGCAAAAATAAAAAGGAACTGGGTGTGCACCACCACGCCATATCCAAATCAAAGCAACTACAGATTAGATTAACCACATTTTGCTTAGCATAAGGCTAAGGCGAAGCTGCCTGAGCTCCATTTTGTCAACACAAGCGCAATGAAGCAAGTGTTTAGTTTGTAATCCTGGGATGACCTAGGACGGGTGTGTGGGTGGGTGTTAACAACTCTTCAAAGAACTGACAAGTAGAGAAAAGGCCCTCAGCGCTTCTCTTTGAGCAGGATTCGAATGAGGTGCCTGCTCCAAAGGCCCTCCAGGAGGAATAGCAGAATAATAGAGCTGGAAGGGACCTTGAAGGTCTTCTAGTCCAACCCCCTGCTCAGGCAGGAGATCCTGTAACATTTCAGACAAATGGCTGTCCAATCGCTTTGTTAAAAACTCCAGTGATGGAGCATTCACCGTTTCTGGAGGCAGGTTGTTCCACTGGTTAATTGTTCTCACTGTCAGGAAGTTTCTCCTTAGTTCCAGGTTGCTTCTCTCCTTGGTTAGTTTCCACCCGTTGCTTCTTCTCCTGCCTTCAGGCGCTTTGGAGAAGAGCTTTGACTCCCTCTTCTTTGGGGCAGCCCCTGAGATATTAGAACGTTGTTATAATGTCCCTCCTCGTCCTTCTCTTCATTAAACAGGACATACCCAATTCCAGCAACCGTTC